ATCAAGTTGCAGAAAGGCTTAATACCGTTTGCTGTGACCGTAGAATTTGGCGTTTATATCCCATGATGCTACAGCCCTATAACTCTGGCATGTGCCAGCAGGAACCATTTCCGCTGGGATTACATAAGAGCTCCAGCGTCCGACTCTCCAACCCGCTAACTGCTGCCTTCTCAGGCAGCATCGCTGGTTAATCCTGGGCTACGCTTGCCCTTGAACCGACGCGGCCAGTGAAAGCAAAAGACATTGCGTCTGAAAGAACAAGGTGGTTGATGATTCCTGTAAACCCGGTTGGGTTCGGTGTTACCTCTGCAGTCTTTTAGCGATGACAAGAGCCGTTTGCAGTGGTGAGGAGCACACTGGTGGATTGTGTGAATATTCATTTTATTGGTGCAGCTACAACCTGTCCGCGTACGAGGCAGATAATGTCAGGTAACCAGTGTCAGTCTGTCCTCTAGCCTGCTGTAACTCTCATCACAAGTCTCAATGTAGAGGGACACAGAAGTGGTTTCCATTAACATGCACTACAGAGGCAAGGTGCCTTGTTTAGTACCAAACGCTGAAATAATCACACTCGGCATTTGATGCTAGATAGAATGATCCAGAATTCTGAACTGTTAAAAGATAAGATTTCTCAAATGTATATTTAGTTTTTTTGTGCAGCACCTCATAAGGGACGTACACTGAGTTATAATGAACCAAAGATGCAATGACTAGGCCAGAGCGACCCAGTAACTGCATTTGCTGCAGTATTACAGGAAAACATTTATATCACTGGTTGAATCATGGAATGCAGTAACTTTAGCAAACTGGTCTTTTCATCATCCTCCTATTATGTTTACTGCGTAAAACAGCATCTCACAGCTTCAATAGGCCGTATTTTTTTATATTTTTGCTGAGGCTATATTTTCTTGCAAGTCATCAGCTATTATAAATCATTGGCTGTGGTTACCAACAGTTTTGCTTCATGAGCTATCTGGCATAGAGTTAAATGAGAAGATTAACACCATTCCTATGTCTGTATGGTAAATATGAAGCTACTGCCACAGTTAGTTTTAGTTTAAAGACTGGAACGTTCCTGCAGTCTTTGCTGGTTGATGCCTGGAATCTGTTTAGAGCCAACATTCGACTGGGTTGAGATCTGGCGACTATGAAGGCCACAGCATATGATTCACATCATTTTCATCCTCAAACCATTCACTGACCCCTCCTGTGGATGAGGGCATTGTCATTCTGGAAAGGTCCACGCCCATTGGGATCAAATAGGTAATCACTCAAGCAACTGATTTGCAGTGACCCTTCCCTTTAAGAGGACAAATAGACCTAAACCATGCCAACTAAATGCCCCCACATGAAAACAGAGCCACCAGATCCCCTTACTGTAGGGGTCAAGAATTCAGGTTTTTCCTTTAATTTGTCACTCGTTTGTATATGAGAGTGGAATTAATCTGAAAAGCTAACACTGCTCCAGAGCTTTTCTTTATGTATACCTTTCAGTAGGTTGTGAGCGTCACCCAATAGTAAATTTCAAATGTATGAGATGAGATGTGTAAGATACCAGACTCCTGGTGACATTATAAAAGCAGTGCAGGGAACATGCACAGAATGCACAATGTTAGTTCTTGTAGCATTACACTGTCACATTGTGCTTGTATTACGAAGTCATTTACATAGCCCAGTATCACAAAATTTCCTCAAGGGACTTATGTTATACTACAAAAAGGATGAACCATGTGAGTTTACACCTGAGGTTGCAGGCATGCAGATCTTGCTTTCCTCCTTCTGCCTTCAGTTTGTATGTGCAAGCTAGATGTAGAGAACAACACATGCAGAAATGTTAATACATGCCACACTGTGGCACGTTGGTGCTGTTATTGCGAGAGCTTACAGAATTGTCTCAGTGGAGATGTGACAACTACATCACGCCTACAGAGGAAACGTTTTCCTAAAAGCCCTAATAGCCTTTTTACCGTCATAGTTCTGGTGAAAGAAAGCCTAAAATATGTATGAGTCTCAAGGGAGGCGCCGACCTGCCAGTACACGGAGTCCAGCTTTACTGCAGAATCCAGACAGCACCCCTTTAACAGTCTAACTGCTACTGGCTCAACAGGCGTTCAGAGTGTAGTAAAACACAACTTCCTGCTGTGTTTAAATGCAAGGGGCTGCATTGGTCAGGTTGGTGAGAGGTTACAGGGGATATAACCATGGAAAGTAGGGGTGTTGGGGGTGCTGCGGCCCCCCTGGATCAAGGGGCCTCACCTCTACCTCTAAATGGCTGAAATCGTTTTCTGTTTATCCTTTTGTATTTTGTGTTTTAAGTTGAATCGGCACATTTCATATAACCTTTGTTAGTCCCTGAGACCGGTAGGCTCATGGGTTATTAAAATTATAAACAGATAAATCTAAAATAGAAAATTATTGCTTGGTGCACCAGAAAGAGGAGTGCACAGCCATTTATCGAGTGTATCGTACCATTTCCGCTCCCCACTGCCTGAAGTGAGTGACAGCAGCACACAGGCTGACTTTGCTTGCTGTCAACAGCCTAATGTCTGTAAAATGATTTATTAGGACATGCAGAATATTTATTATCATGGCTCATGAGCTGCTTCAGTGTGTTGTTGTGTGCATGGATTTGATAACAGATGAGCAAGTCTCCAGGTCCTCAGCAGCTCCCTCTCAAAAACACCCTCTCATAGGAACTGTCCACGTAATGACACATGAATTATATAACAAACGACACTTTTGAACCTCAGTCTGAACGCGGCCTTAACAATCTGACCACCGGCTGATTTGCTCACCCAAAGGAGCCCAGTCAAAACAGCTTTGAAAGACCGTGTTTTTACATAAGGAATTGTTTTTACAAATATACTGTGAATACTTTTTTTGATGTTCTCATATGAAAAGAAGCCCTAAGCACAGCCACAGAACTGTGACAGATCACTTCTAAGAGGACAAGATGTAGACAGATTTTTTTTCACTTCACTTCCCTTGTTTGTCACAAACAGGAAGGCACATGAAGACACAATAAATATTAGACAAGAGGCAGAAATGATGCACCGATTTTACACATGAAAAGAATCCGGATCTTTGTCTGCCAG